CGGAATCCTAAGAAAATTTCCTATAAGACTAATATCCTGGACATTTGATTCGGAGAACTTTTTTTTGGACCTCGTTTTCGGACACTGATATCTCGAAATCGGTTTGAGATATCAAAAAACTAAATCGACCCTAGGTTTCCTACTTTTTTATAAGGAACACAATGAAAAAAACCTGGATCGAAAATATTGAAGGACGACCGAGAAAATCGAAAAAAGTGACAAAGTACTGGATTTGACCTAATTCTTGACTTTTGACCTAGATAAAAATTTGACCCAATTTCCGAGGAACTAGATTCTGGACCTAAATTGACCAAATGACTGACTTTACTGAAAACCTTACGGTTATTGAGAAAACGTGCTTAGAATAATAATAATAACTAGACATGTAAATTGAACAAGTTCAATTTAAGACTCCAGATTTAATTTTTTTTTAAGCTGAGTCATCCAGAATACTTGTAAGCTGAGTCATCCAGAATAAGCTGATCGAGTCAGCTAGAATTTAGACATTTAGGCAACTCTCCATTTTTTATCTTCGACTCCATTGGCTTAACATGGGGATATCATCATATCGACTTTTCGAGACTTCAAACCGCTATAACTATCTAACCAGAAGTTAGATTGTATTTTGGTTTAAAGATTCGGACTCCTGAGAAAATTCTACCCTTAATTCATAACTCATACATTAAATTTGGAGATTTTTTTATTTTGACCTACTTTTTGGACACCATATCTCAAAAGTGGGTCAAAATACTTTCTGACGGCAAAAAGCTATCACTATAAGCACACTCTTTGCTACCTGTATACAAAATTTCGAAGCAAATCATTAAAGTGTAATGTCAGAATCGCAAAAATAAGGAAAATTATGAATTTGCCCTAGATTTTGACCTTGGCATTTTGGTGTCCAAATTTTAAAGCTAGATAGCCTTCGAGGTCCCCTCCTTTTAAAGGCTTTCAGAATGTTAAGCTGTACTCAGTCTATATCTGGTATTTTAGACTTCAAAAAAATCTTTTTCCCTATTGACATAACATGGGGCACCAAATTTAGCAATTTTTGAGCTTTCAAACGCTATAACTTTCAAACAGAAAGTCGGATCGAAATTTGGTTTGCAGATTCAGATTCCTCAGAAAATTCTATCCTTATTTCATAACTCATATGCTAAATTCGGAGAACTTTTATTTTGACCTACTTTTCGGACACCATATCTCAAAAGTCGGTCAAAATACTCTCTGACGGCAAAAGGCTAACACTATAAGCACACTTTTTGCTACCTGTATACAAAATTTCGAAGTAAATCATTTAAGTGTAATGTCAGAATCGCAAAAATAAGGAAAAACTATGAATTTGACCTAGATTTTGACCTAGGCATTTTGGTGTCCAAATTTTAAAGCTAGATAGGCTTCGGGGTCCCCTTCTTTCATAGGCTTTCAGAATGTTAAGCTGTATTCAGTCTATATCTTGTATTTTACACTTCAAAAAAATCTTTTTTCTCATTGACATAACATGGGGCACCAAATTTAGCGATTTTCGAGCCATTACTTTGGAACCGATAGTCGGATTGAAATTTGGTTTGCAGATTCGGATTCCTGAGAAAATTCTACCCCTAATTCATAACTCATACGTTAAATTTGGCGAATTTTTATTTTGACCTACTTTTCGGACACCATATCTCAAAAGTGGGTCAAAATACTCTCTGACGGCAAAAGGCTTACACTATTAGCACACTCTTTGCTACCTGTATATAAAATTTTGAAGAAAATTATTAAAGTGTAGTGTCAGAATCATAAAAATAAGGAAAAACTATGAATTTGACCTAGATTTTGACCTAGGCATTTTTGTGTCCAAATTTTGAAGCTATGTAGCTTTTGAGGTCCCCTTCTTTTACAAAAGTTCATTATGTTGAGCTGTACCCAGTCTATATCTTGTACTTTACACTTCGAAAAAGTCTTTTTTCCCATTGACTTAACATGGGGCACCAAATTTAGCGATTTTTGAGATTTCAAAACGCCATAACATCCGAACCGGCAGTCGGATCGAAATTTGGTTTGCAGATTCAGATTCCTCAGAAAATTCTACACTTAATTCATAGCTCATACGTTGAATTTGGAGAATTTTTTATTTTGACCTACTTTTCGGACACCATATCTCAAAAGTGGGTCAAAATACTTTCTGACGGCAAAAGGCTAACACTATTAGCACACTCTTTGCTACCTGTATACAAAATTTTGAAGTAAATTATTAAAGTGTAGTGTCAGAATCGTTAAAATAAGGAAAAACTATGAATTTGACCTAGATTTTGACCTAGGCATTTTGGTGTCCAAATTTTGAAGCTATGTAGCTTTTGAGGTTCCCTTCTTTTATAAGCATTCATTATATTAAGCTGTACTCAGTCTATATCTTGTATTTTACACTTCGAAAAAGTCTTTTTTCCCATTGACTTAACATAGGCACCAAATTTAGCGATTTTTGAGCTTTCAAAACGCCATAACTTCCGAACCGAAAGTCGGATCGGAATTTGGTTTGCAGATTCGGATTCCTGAGAAAATTCTACTCTTAATCCATAACTCATACGTTAAATTTGGAGAACTTTTTATTTTGACCTACTTTTCGGACACCATATCTCAAAAGTGGGTCAAAATACTTTCTGACGGCAAAAGGCTAACACTATTAGCACACTCTTTGCTATCTGTATACAAAATTTTGAAGCAAATTATTAAAGTGTAGTGTCAGAATCGTAAAAATAAGGAAAACTATAAATTTGACCTAGATTTTGACCTTTGACCTAGATAAAAATTTAACCTAATTTCCCAGAAACTAGATCTCATCTCCTTACTGACCCTGTAAGTAGATTTGAGTAAGGTCTTCTAGTTGCTGAGAAAACTGGTTCGGAAAGAATAATAATAATAATAATAAAACTGGCAAAAGCAATAGACTCCAGATTTTCAATCTGGAGTCTAATAAGAAGAAAAAGAATAATAAGAAAACTAACGAAAACAATAGACTCCAGATTTCATCTGGAGTCTAATAAGAATAATAAGAAGAAGAAGAATAAGAAAACTGACGAAAACAATAGACTCCAGATTTTCAATCTGGAGTCTAATAATAAGAATACTGGCAAAAACAATAGACTCCAGATTTTCAATCTGGAGTCTAATAATAATAATAAAAAGAATACTGGCAAAAACAATAGACTCCAGATTTTCAATCTGGAGTCTAATAAGAAAACTGGCAAAAGCAATAGACTCCAGATTTTCAATCTGGAGTCTAATAATGAGAACTTTATGATATACCCTTGTACATGTAGTAAAATCTGTGTAAGTGGAACACAACCTGTAGCTCTACTTAATAGCCCTTAGATGTTAGAGAGGCTCATCTAATTCTAATATTGAGTAAATGGATCATCTGGTTTTGTTCTACCATGGGCTTTCAACTAGATAATTGAAAGCCCATGGTTCCACTTAGGGAGATGTTCCACTTACAGGGAGGTGTTCCACTTGACAATTTTTACCGTAACTGAATAGACAGAGTTTTAAAATACTCAATAATGTGTATGAATGATGCATGGTGTTTGAAATAAATTGAATCAAGTTGGATTCTAAAGTAATACATGTAATGAAATAAACTGTACAAAAAGAGTACTACAAAACGAAACTAAGATTTAAAACAGACCTGAGTCATGAGGCTATGTTGACCTCTATAAACACAGAACTCCCCAACCCCAAAAGATAAATGTCATATGGTAGAAACTGTTTCAGTATTCAAGATTAGAGAAAAGAGTAGCAATGAATAAAGTAGACAAGCCTTAAGTTGACATTCTAAAATTTAAAGAAACCCAAGTTGATCAATGTTTTTTCAAAATTTTAGAGGAAAATTGAATGAAATAAGCATGATCCTTGTAACATTTTAAGCATTGGTTTCCCGTACAATGTTTTTATTTACCAAGGGAACATATCAATAATGACTTTATGATAATAAAAAAGTTAAGTACATTTTTGGCTGACTATTCCCCCTTGCGATGTGAATGATGATACATTAATTGAACTATATTGTATATTATAGGTCTCTGTCTGTTGTATGACAAGTGGGCAGTATCAGCTGGGGTTTTGTAATCAAATTTTGAATTACCATAACAAGAATAGATATGTCACGACTATATTTTCAACTGTGTACAAACAGCAAATATCTCTATATTTGTTGTGACTTTTTACTCCCCCCTTATTATGTCTTGGGTAACTTGCTTTTCATTGTAAACCAAGTTAGACACATTCCCAACCAGCCAACAAGAGGGGGAGAAAGCCCAGGGTTCAAAGATGACATACGCTTATAATGTAAATCTGTATTGAGATGACATCGTCGCTGATTGGTTTAGCGAGTCGATTGTTGATTGGTTTAAAACTAGGTCAATTTGAAAACTTTGAAAACCAAGATGGAGGGTAAGTTCTTGTGGGAAAGGAGGTGCGCGAAGGAGAAAACCGTATGTCATCAATTGAATCATGGGGTTTTCCCTCCTGTTCAGCCAACAGAGTTCTAAGAAGTCCATTAGTTAATATTAAGACTTCTAAGAAGTACTATTTAGAGGAACTTTAGATATAGGATAGAGACAGTTGTCGAGGGTAAGTTTTTAAAAACACTGTTTCACTTATACAATTACATTTTGCAATCGTCATACACGCCAAGCCTATTTTCAAGAAGAAACAGCTCTGGCTTTATTTCAGAAATCCATTGATTTTTAAGATCATTATTTGGCAAAAGGTATTAATGAATTTGGACATTTCGGCATCTTAAATCTTTTGCATATAATAAACTTCATGAACTTAGAACATTGGTATGCTTAAGATTCCAAACTCTCTAATCTGTGCCACTTTAAGAACAGGAAGAGTAATATACAGTCACAATAACATTAACATTAATACAAGAGCTGTGGTTAGCTAATGATTTACATGTACAAAAAGTATGTTGCTGTATTTTGAATGCTTTTTCTGATATGGTTGTTTGTGGAACATTCATAAGTACATGTAACTCAGTCATTCATTCTGATTGGTTGCAGATATCAAAGACCACAAATAAATAAATAGGAGCGACAACAAGGCAAGCATTATATGACTAGTTGCGCCATAAAAGAAAGTCTGAAAAATGGCCATGGCTAAACAAGACGAGGGTGATCCTTTAGTGGAATCAGTGACATGTTCAATATGTATGGAGGTTTTAAATGATCCTAGATCACTACAATGTATGCACAGTTACTGCAGAAAGTGTATACAGGACACAATGGACAAACATCAAGACAAGAAATCGTTTCCTTGCCCAATATGCAGAGAGGACTGCCCGATACCTAATCAAGGGGCTGCAGGTCTCAAGGTGAACTTTTTTGTGAACTCTGTTTTGGACATTGCAAAAGATCGATCAGCATCATCGAAAGATGAATGGAATTGCGATATTTGTCTTGAAGAGAACGAGCATGTCCCAGCAATTTCCAAGTGCCTGGATTGCAATGAGAAGCTCTGCAAAGCATGCAATCGTGCACATAAACGGTCACGTACTACGAAGCTACATAAAATACTTGAGCTAAGTGGTGACACATCTCAAGATACCAAGGCTGCCATGGACATGTTATCTAAACGGACCTTGTACTGTCAAGTGCATACACAAGAACCTTTAAAGTACTTTTGTAAAAAAGATCAGCTTCTTATCTGTCAAGACTGTTTTGCATTCAGTCACCAAGGCCATGAGCTAGAGGACATTGAGACAACGGCAAAGTCCACTTTAAAGAACTTAAGCTCAGTTATTGACCTTGGTAAGCATAGATCAGCCAAGTACGAGACAGATATCAATGAAATCCACATTCAGAAACAAGACATTGAGAAAAACACTGATGAAGCCAATGGTAAATTAGAGAAGGACCAGAAATTAGTCCAAGCCCATGTTGATGCTCACTTTAAAGCTCTGAAAGCTGAAGTTCAGACCATGGGAAGTGCAGCTGTTAAGAACATAGTAGCTCATTTGGCTGGTCTACAATTTGACAAAGATGCCATTGATGGTACTGTTAAACAATTGGAAAGCCTTCAAGACCATGGTCATCCTGCAGACATTGTGTACATGATACCCGAGATGAATGCCAAACATGAAATATGGTCTATGACTCCTGATCCTCAGATTGAGCCCAATCGAGAGCTACGAGTAAAACCAAGCCAAATCGTTGATGGTAACATCAAACTTCCAAGCTTGGAAAAAGATATGCAAATGAAGGCTCACAAAGTCACAAAGAGAACCTTTGGAAACATAATTGTGCTTACAAATGATGCAGTTGTAACCACCACATCAAATAAAGTCATGTTTTATGATAAGAACTTGAATCCCAGAGGAAAAATGATTAATGTCCCAAAAGGTTGGCACGCAGTGAGTAAGTCAAATGATAACTGTGTTGTCTTTTGCTACCAGCAAGATAATTGCATAAAAATGAGGATCTACAATGATAATGGTCATATTGTAACGAACTGTCATATACCAAATGTGACAGGACTGAAGGATTTTGTGATAAATCATTCAAATGAGGTTATAATGGTAGCAAAATCTGACTGTATATTGTGTATAAAGTACAAATCAGGGAAAATTATCAATTCCTACACTTTATCAGCTCTGTCTAGTTTGCAAGTACATGACATGGATGTTAACAGTAAAAATGACATAATTATGTCACATCCTAATTGCATCAGTATCACAAAGCTAGAAGGAGAAGATGCTGGAAGACGAGAAGTATATATACCAAGTGAAGATGAAGTATATCTCATAGCTTATGTGGACATCAAGGACAACATTATTGTACTGAACCAAGCTAAATCAACCATCACACTTTTAACACCCAAAGGTGACTTTATAAAGGACTTGATAACCCCACACAACTGTGCCTGCATAGTGTTTTACATACATCCCAACTCAGTTGGAGATTTGGTTGTAGGAGCCTTTCACGAAGGCTCTCCAGAAAAGTGCATGTTCATATTGAAATACAGATCAGAGAATGGTGAACTCCTGTAATCTGACAGAACATGAAAAGGGGACATTTAACATTATTGAGAGTTCTTACAAATTGATAATGTATTTTTATTGTTTAACATAAATACGAGGGGTGATCAATAAGTAATGGACGCTTTTTTACACAGATGCTTTTTATAGACCAATCCCTTTGATTTTCTTACCAGTGATACGTCATTCAATTATCTATCAACTCTGAAGATTTGAAAACAAAACATGTAATACATTTTGATATATCTTTATTTCCGTGAAGGATGTGTAGGTACCCCGGGACCGACATTTACGTCAAACATTCTAAAGCTATTTTTACTTGTTTAACATGCAATGCAGTTGAATGCAGGCTGAACAAAACAAACCATTATGGTCATGAATTACCCCATTTTGTTATGTCATAGTTGATTTTGAATATTTTATCATCACTATGTGGTATTCATGCCACATTCATTCCACAGGTCCCTCTACATAGGTTCAATCAAATGCTACATGTACACAATTACTCATCCTCTTAACTCGCAAGATTGTGAGACAAGGCTGAATCCATTCTCTGACATGGTAGCAAGATGCAGTTGCACGGGTTGTTTTATTTCATCAATGGCAATAAACCTGCATCCTTTCTCTATAGAAATAAGTAGTATAGAAATAAATAAGTCACATGTGAGCAGATCTGCACAATATGGTGCATTGGCCAAGAGCTCAATTTTGAGGTCCAGGGATATTGTTTTCTGAACATTTTGAGATCTGTGGGCAGGTGCATTGTCCATATGGAGTAGGGTGTTCCCTTCTCTCACCACCCATTTCTTCCACAATGCTTTCTCAAATTGACCTGCAAACCCCTTCCATACAACACTCTGACATCACAATACTTTCTGTTTATGTGTTACCAGTCAGCAAAAAATGTCAAACAACACAACACTTGTTGCATATAAAAAGTTCAAATCCAACTGAAATTTGCCAAACTGGCTAAAAACTGAATATATGACGTAAATGTCGGTCCCGGGGTACCTGTACCTCCTTCACGGAAATAAGGATATATCAACATATATTATATATTTTGTCTTCAAATTTTCAGAATTGATAGATAATCGAATGACGTATCACTGGTAGGAAAATCAAAGGGATTGGTCTATAAAAAGTATCTGTGTAAAAAAGCGTCCATTACTTATTGATCACCCCTCGTATAATACATACATGTACCAGTAATAATTGATATCAGATATGTGAAATTAGAAATAAAGTCATGTAAACCATATCCTTGTCAATCCTTGAAATAATTATGTATCAAATTATGTATCATGTATCAAAGAGTCTCAGAGCTTATTACTGAACCCAAAATACTCAACTGAAAAGAATTCAGAGTAATCTCTAATATTATTAGAACTTATTTATCAAATTGCAGTAAAACCTGTGCCAGGCCGTCCAACTGTCCCGCAATTTGCGTATTTGTCACGCATTTGGTGAAGAAATTGAAGTCACACCAGCTTATTTTGCGTGACAGAATATGTCGTGCAAATACGCATTTTACCTGATAATTGTCAAGCAAAAACATTTCTGTAGAAGAAAAAAATGAACACCGATACATAAAAAAAGCTGAAAAAAGGTGAACGCATTTCATTCAGACTTTTCACGTGAATTCTGTCGTATATGTCACGCATTTGGTTCGAAATTTGTGTATATGTGACGCATTTGTTTCGAAATTTTTTGGACCTACCCCTGCATTTTGCCATATTATACATGGAGACAAGAGAGGGAATTAGTTTAATTTGTAATGTTTGGTCATTTAAAACCTCAAATTTTCATTATTTTTGTATGAGGACGGCAGCTTGCCAAAAAATACTAATATTAAAATTTTAAAGCTCACTTCAGTTTTTATTGAAAGGTGTGCAAGTGCGCAAGTTTTTCCTATCTTTTTAAAAAAGTGACAAGGGTCCTAGTCCATAACTTTTCAGAGAGTTGGACTGATATTTTTCTATCATAGGGACTTAACTTCAAAGAAAACATAATGTTTTAATAGAAACTGTATTCATGGCCAGAAAGTACTCATGGTGAAAGATATGACTGTTTAAAATCACTTGCCATACCTGACATGGTCTTTTAACAAATCCCAAGGATTTAATTGGAGAAAAGTCTAATTGGGCTAATAATTCTTTTCATAAAAAATATAGAAATACCACCCAAATCAAATTAAGCATATTCAAAAGAAAACGTTTAAATCTCAAGTATGTAAAAATATCAAAATTGTCTCAAGCAGGAGTAATGTGCAGTAGACCGATTCAATTAAAGAAAAGTTTCGGTTTGGAGAACGAAGTTTATCAGTCTACTAAGCTAATTACTTTTTATGAAAAATATAGAAATAACATCCAAATTAAATTATGAATATTCAAAAGAGGACATTTAAATCTACAATATGTAAAAATATAAAAATTGTCTTAAGAAGGCGTAACTTGCAGTAAACCGATTTAATAAATGACAAGTCTCGGTTTGGAGAACAAACTTCAAAAGTCTACTGTGCTAATCATTTTTTATGAAAAAAATAGACAAAACACCCAAATTAAATTATTGATATTCAAAAGAGGACATTTAAATGTACAATATGTAAAAATATCAAAATTGTCCAAAACAGGTGTAACATACTGATGAACTTCGTTCTCCAAACCAAGACTAGTCCTTTATTTATTTTTTGCCAGATCAATGATAAAACTCAAGCTCAGTCCTGAATCTGCCAAATATTTGAAATTGATCAAATCTGCCAAATTAAATAGTGAAAAATTAAGTGTATATACAGTAAGTATGCCAAGCAAAGGAAAGAGGTACCCACAAGTTTCTACTTATTTTGATCATAAATCGATGCTTAATATATTCAAAAGACGGAATTCTCAGAAGTGCTATATTTAAACAGAATACTAAGAAGGATTGTAATTAAACAAAATTCTAAGAAGTGCTGTATTTTAACAGAGTTCTAAGAAGTGCCCCTAAAAATTAAAATAAGATAAGCTATCCTACATAGGCTAGGTTCTTGTATGATAATCACATAGTTATTTTGCAGCAGTCTCTTATTGATCGCAAAAAGTTCATGTTAACGCATGCAGTGTTGATAATTAGATTGATTGTACAATTCGAGTTCACCATCTAGTAATGATACAACATATTTAAACTGGTTGCAGTTAGCTAAGACTATGAATAATAAAGGAGTGTTTAGCACAGTTAGGGGCGTAGGTGACGGCACAGAATGTGCAAAAATGGCGACAGCTAAACAAGACAAGAGTGATCCTCTAGTAGAATCAGTGACATGTTCAATATGTATGGAGATTTTAGATGATCCTCGATCACTACAATGTATGCACAGTTACTGCAGAAAGTGTATACAGGTCACAATAGTTAAACATCAGGATAAGAAATTGTTCCCTTGCCCAATCTGCAGAGAGGACTGCCCAATAACTAATCAAGGGGCTGCAGGTCTTAAAGTGAACTTTTTCGTTAACTCTGTTTTGGATATTGCAAAAGATCAATCTGCATTGTCGAAAGATGCGTGGAATTGCGATATCTGTTTAGATGAGGATGAGTCTGTCCCAGCAATTTCCAAGTGCCTAGATTGCAATGAGAAGCTCTGCAAAGCATGTAATCGTGCACATAAAAGGTCGCGTTGTTCGAAGCTGCACAAAATACTTGAGCTAAGTGGTGACACTTCAAAAGATACCAAGGCTGCAATGGACATGTTATCTAGACGAACCTTGTATTGTCAAGTACATACTCAAGAGCCCTTGAAGTACTTCTGTAAAAAAGATCAGCTTCTTATCTGCCAAGACTGTTTCGCATTTGATCACCAAGGCCATCAATTGGAGAACATTGAACAAACTGCAAAAGCAAACCTGAAATATTTAAATTCAATCATTGACCTTGGGAGACAGAGGTCAGCCAAATATGAAGAGAGCATAAGTGATGGTCACGCTCAAAAGCTAGCAGTTGAAAAAAGAACAGAGAAATCTAAAACCAAACTTGTCACAGACAGAAGGATTGTATTAGCCCATGTGAATGCCTACTTTGATAAACTAGAGTCTGAGTTGACTGCTGCGGGAAATGCTTCTGTTAAAACACTGATTACACATCTAGCTAATCTCGAATTTGATAAAGATGCCATTGATGGAACTGTAAAGCAATTAGAAGCCCTCCAAGATCATGGTCATCCTGCAGATATTGTGTCCATGATACCTGAGATGAATGCCAAACGTGAAGTTTGGTCTATGATTCCTGATCTTCAGCTTGAACCTGATCAAGAACTACAAGTTAAAACACCAAGCAAACTCAATGATGCCAATCTCAAACTTGCAAGTTTAGAAGATCGTACACGAAGAAAGGCTCACAAAGTCGCAAAGGGAAGTTTTGAAAACATAATTGTACTTGCAAATGATGACGTTGTAACCATCACATCAGATAAAGTCAAGTTTTATGATAAGAACTTGGGTCCCAGAGGAAAAATGATTAATGTCCCAAAAGGTTGGCAGGCAGTAAGTAAGTCCAATGATAACTGTGTTGCATTTTGCTACCAGCAAAATAATTGCATAAAAATGAGGACCTACAATGATGATGGTCATATTGTAACAAACTGTCACATACCAAATGTGACAGGACTGAAGGATTTTGTGATAAATCAATCTGATGAGGTTGTAATGGTAGATGACGATGACCAGATATTGCGTGTGAAGTACAAATCAGGGAAAATGATTAGCTCCCGAAGACTAACGAATCTGTCCAGCATGGCAGTATGTAACTTGGATGTTAACAGTAAAGCTGATGTTATAATGTCACACAAAAGTTGTATAAGTATCATAAGGCTCAGAGGAAAAGGAGCTGGAAAACGAGAAGTATACACAGCCCGTGATAATGAGCTAGGTCTTGTAGCATATGTTGACAAACAGGACAATATCATTGTACTAAACCAGGCTAATTCAACTATCACAATTCTAACACCTGAAGGTGAATTCATAAAGGACTTAATCACTCCAACAAAATGCAAGCCATTTAGCTTACATCCAAACTCGGAAGGAGATTTGGTTGTAGGAGCCTTTCACAAAGGTTCTGCAGCAGAGTGCATGTTCATATTGCGATATAGATCCGAGGATGGCAACATCATGTAGCCTAACTGATAACCTGCACAACAAGAAATATATAATGTGATATGTGAGAAATATATATATATATGTGACTTTATAGAAATAACGAAAAACTTCTCAAATCAGCATTGCTGATAATCTTTCTCATTTGCCATATTTTTTTTATCAATTTCAATTAAAACCCAGCAGTTTTTGTAGTTTTAATATAAATATATTGATTATACTTGTATCAAGTATAACCAATAATTATAGGATATCCTATGATTTTGAGGAATATCATTTTTATCTACGAGGTGATATTGATATCTGCACGAGAGAGCGAAGCGAACGAGTGCATTTATCAATATCACAGAGTAGATTAAAATGATATTCTGAAAAAATCATAGGATGTTCTTATTATCCTACACTTACAAGGAAAGTACTAAATGTATAATATCATTGCAAAATGAATTCCATGCCAAATAGAGTCAATTTGGCGGGAAATCAACAAGCGGAGTATATCGTCACGATATCCTCCGCATATTGGGGTTTCCGGAGTATATCGTCACGATATCCTCCGCCCGGAGTATATCGTTACGATATCCTCCGGATATTCATTTTGCCAATAAATATCAAATTTATTTTTTAATGTTATTATACATTTAGTATACTAAGTGTAGGATAATTGTAATTATCAGTCATGTAAAACTAATATAAACTATTACAAAACTTACAAACTTGCAAGTCATTAATATGACAAAATGTCAACACCCTGTAAGTTATTGCAAATGGTTTAAAAATGGTAACTATATGTTACAAGTTGACTTATTTATTGCCATGCTGACATTTCAAGTTATGTGACTATGTATTCTTAAGTAACAGTATGTAAGAAATGTGTTTTAAGACAAATAATCTGTTTCCATGATGATATATATTCATAGTCCCCGATCTGATTTCCAAAAGGGCTCTAGAAAAGGGGTTTTGTTGTCCGGTACTTTCCCACATAAAATGATTGTACCGTTTGAAAGAACAGACTTCCCTCTTAAAGAAAACACCTCTTCTATTGATGTAAACAGGGGCAAAAGGCACCAAAACGGGGTTAGACAAGGTGGCATTCTGAAGTCTCACTTTCTTTTCATCACGATTCCAGGTAAACCATTAGACGGATTTACTTCAAATTTTTACACATGTTACATGGTAAGAAGTTCTAGAGCTGATTAACTTTGCGGCGGCCATCTTGCATTCTGGCGGCCATCTTGGAATTTTTTTCAGATAAATATTGTCATCGCGATTCCACAAAAACCACATAACAGATGTACTTCAAATGTTCACACATGTAACATGGTAAAAAGTTCTAGACCTCATTATTTTTTCGGTGGCCATCTTGCATTCTGGCAGCCATCTTGGAAGTTTAAAGATAAATCTTGTCATCACGATTTCAGGAAAACCAAACAGATTTACTTCAAATTTTCACACATATTACATGGTAAGAAGTTCTAGAGCTAATTAACCTTTCGGTGGCCATCTTGCATTCTGGCGGCCATCTTGAAAGTTTTTTTGGATAAATCTTGTCATCGTGATTCCAGGAAAACCACTTTACTGATTTTCTTGAAACTTTTACACATGTTACAAGGAAGGTTACATGCTACCTTTTATATTGATATAAACAGGGGCAAAAGGCAGTAAAGTGGGGTTACACAAGGTGGTATTCTAAGGAGAATGTTATCTATTTTTCTGTATTTTAAACCACATAATTTGACATAAATGCATATTTGGTGTATGATATCATGTTTTATATTGATAGAAAGCTTTCGCTTCCTAGTCAACTCGTACCCAAGACAACTCGTACCCAAGACAACTCGTACCCAAGCTTATTTTCAGTATTATGGGTGCATATTAGGGAAGAAATTGAGTTTGTAATGCTTTCATGTTATAAGGTGAATCAAATAAGCCTCAATATTTTTTTGAATTTAGACGACATTTTTTCTCAATGGATCAGTAAAGCATTTTTTTATTAAATAAAAGAAGTGCTTGAAGCGCTTGTTCTCAAAATTTTTTTGTCAAACATATGTATAAATAAATATAATTACAACGTTAGATCTGACACTTGTTCCAAACACTCATAAACATACAATATTTTGAAAAATGATTATAAACATATGTCTCTTCACTTGAACATCCTGAATCTGTGACCAATATAAAATAATAGTCAATATAAATTGACACTCAGCTCAAAATGTCATAAAATTAAATCAATTTCTTCCGAAAATTCTTCTTCAAACTTTAAACTATTCTGAACAGTATGTTACAATTATAATATGTATATCTAGTCACATTCCCAGTCCAATGCTTGATTCAAAACAAAATATATACTTGGGTACGAGTTGTCTTGGGTACGACTTGTCTTGGGTACGAGTTGACCAGTTACCGATAGAAACATGGGCAAGAGGCGCTACAATGGGGTAACACATGGTGATATTCTAAAATACATATTTTTACTCTGCTTCTGTACTTTATACCACTTAAATGCATTTTGTGTATGACATCGATTGATTTTTAGAATAAATAACTACATTTCATCAAAAAGAAAAAAGATTATTGAAAACGTCAAACATTTCTTTGAAATCCATTATTGCACAGCGATTTTTGAGAGCAAAATGTATGCTAAATTGGCCTTGATCTGAGTATATAACGGAATTAAAGCTCTTTTAAACGAAAATGTAAATGTGTGGAAAACCTTTCACTGTGCATCATGTCAACAAAATGTTCTTCATGCTGTTGAATTATCTTCTGGACAGGTGATCACACAGAAGGAGAGACCTGCGTATCATATCCTTACTAAATATAAACAAAAATGACAAATGAGAAAGGAAAAAAAAGTGTAAAGCAACCTAGTGGGAAAAGCAAACTGTAAAGTGTAAAACTGGCAAACAAAAATCAAACCTGAATATCCCAAGACAATAATCTAATATGGGAATAAACAGCATCCACACCGTCCAATGACCAATTCCTCATCAACGACCACAACTCCGAAGGACATTCCATTCATACTGAAGTCATTAAAATAATCAAAAATAGTTGTAGATACTATAGTACTCATAAAAGCTGCAGATAACGTTTCTTCATCGGGAAAGCAAGCTGTCTCTTAGTCAGATATTAAGTAACGAGCTGGTTCAGAGCACCAGCATGTCAAACTATGTGAATTGGCTCTGTAGTCACAATGTTGCGAGTTCGAAACACATGTCCTCTTTGCGTTTAATAATCACTTAAACCTGCACTAAAACTGTGTGTCAGATCGATATAAGTATAGGGTTTGGAAACTAATTGTACCAACAAAAAGAACTTAAAAAACACTGCTACAATATCAACATAAGCTTTCAATAGTAGTGACGATGCAGAAACATGCAAAATGTCACCACACCTTGTTAAGTATACAGTACACATTAACTACTGAACAGTGTCAAGATAAGCGTTCGAAGCTACCCTGTTAAAAATGTTCAACCTTGAATTTGGGACATTCAACCCCATGATTATTTCATTGAAAAATTGAAAAACAATGGATGAAAAAAACAAACCGTTGAAAAAAAATACAATGGTTTTTTTTCAAGACATTGAAAAATTCAGTTGTAGTATTCAATACATTGAAAAAATTCAATCATATATTTTGCTTATACAGTAAAACTCCTCTGATAGAAGTAGAAAAGTTATTATAGGTTATCTTGGTATTTATAGTTAATGTGAATGCTTAAAACAACATTTAGTGTTTGTGAAAGATTTTAAGGTATTTTGTCAGGAGATAATGATTGATGATGTTTAAAAGTTTCATTGTCATTGGTATGCTAGATGATCTGTTTAGAATTTTCTATGAGTCAAATCATGAGCTCAACTAAATTATTTTTTATTTTAATTCAAAATTACATTATCTGTTTATAATTTCCCTTGATTAGGTCCTTGAAAATACAAATGAATAGGAATGTTATTAGACCTTGTTAAAGTATTGTTTGGATGGGTTTAATAATCAAAGAATACAATTTCAAATTAATCAATAAATTAATGATTTTATGTTCAAACTTTATGTTGCCTCTTTAAGTTGATACTAACTTTGGGTGCTATTATAAAATAAGTGATCTAATGTTCTATATGTCCCTGGTAAAGATGATTGTTAACAAGCTGTTTATTTTTTTTATATAGAACCACATCCTTCCATACATTGTATAATATAAAGTAAATATCAAACCAATTATTTCATTCAAAATTAATGCATTACATTAATTTATGAAATTATAGTAAGATTTCACTTTTAAGTATGATAATTTAGATCGTATTTTCCCCATACAAATTGAATATAGGCCCCAGTACTCAGGGAGTGCGATAAAAAGATTTGTCTACTTGTCTACAATTTTTCATAAAAACACTAGAACAAAATCAAAGTTAAACTCATAAATTTTGTTATACATAAAGAATTACCTACTACATGCAATAGGCATATCTATCATATGCGGGTAACCCTCACTTCTGTTTGAAGTCCAATAAAGCTATGAGTAAAACAGTGACAGAGTATAATACTCTAAAATGTACCACTTCTTTTTCAAATTTTTAATGGCAAGATATAGTGACATTAGAATATTTACATATGCTTTTAGTAAAACTTTGAAGGTATTAATGAGATCTAGATGTATTGGGTCTTTTTCTTTTTTTCATGAAATTAATGTTAATTTTTGTCCACCATAGGGGAGCATTTTCAAATATGAAATGCATTAAACCAAACCCCTATCCCAATTAATGACCATTAAATCAATTTAAGAAATGATAAAAAGATTTCACTGTTTAGTATGATATTTAGATTATATTTCCCCATATTCACAAATTGAATACAGGCCCCAGTAAACACGGGGTGCGATCACAAGATCTTTTACTCTTAAACAACCCCCCCCCCTTTCCCCCATTTTACTATGGGGAATCACAATTGCTCTATGAACTATGAACCTACTGTGATGTGGTCCATGAGGACATTATACTCCCAGGCATATACTGTTCATTCATATGGCGTACCTGAACTAATAAGTTACCAAGTTTTTAACTTATTGTTTAAAGTTAATGCTAACTTTAGATTCAAGTACAGATGTAAATTGCTTAAAGAATTAATCATGTTTGATTCAAAGTTTCATGTTTACAAAATTCAAGCAATAGAAAATTATGCAAACAATCATAGAAAATTATGCAAA